TGTGTTCGCCAGGATGGTCTCCATCTCCTGACCTCGTGATCCGCCCACCTCGGCCTCCCAAAGTGCTGGGATTACAGGCGTGAGCCACCGTGCCCGGCCCAAAATTCTTCTCTTTTAAAAAACTGAAACTAACATTTATATCCTCAGGTAGCTAGAACTGGAACTTAATAGATCTGATTTCGTAATTTGTGATTGGTGATTGAGCACTGGCTCAGGAGCCTGAAGTCTTGGCTGGAAAACTAACTTTTCATGTCATCTCTCTAAGCCTCAGCTTACTCATCTGTGATGTGCATTACATGTTTTTCCATGTGTCTAATGTAGTGCCTTATTTAAATTAAAAAAGTTTCAGATCCTCCATTTAAGTGGTGGGTTCTAGTACAATGTTACTACACTGTATGTGCATGCGTGTGTATGTGTGTGTGAAAACTCCATAAAAATGCCTTATAATTTTCATGCAATCATAAAACCAAGAAGAAATCATAAACCAGTACACATCCAGATGTGTAACAGATATCCATCAGATAGATACACATCACTGTGAGAGATAAAGATGCCTTGCTGAGTCTAAATTGTGTGCTGTATGAACCTAGACCTGCCCCAGGGTGGCATGGGGTCTTTTTATTTGGACCTTGGTTATGGTGCTTTTATGTACTATGATGACTCAGGTCTTACAGCACTTCCAACCATAAGAAAACCTTTATTTCAACATCATTATGATGTCGTTTGGCCATCCTTTTATGAGAACATGCTGTTGAGTGACTGACTGACTGACAGGGCCTTGCTCTGTTGCCCAGGTTGGAGTGCAGTAGTACAATCACGGCTCACTGCAGCCTTGAACTCCTGGGCTCCAGTGGTCTTCCCACCTAAGACTCCTGAGTAGCTGAGACTGATGCAGGACATGTGAGCCCTACAGTGGGCCTTAGCCCATAAAGGTCCTTGTCTTTGCCCATAAAGGTCCTTGTCTTTGCCCAGGAAAGAATTCAAGGGCAAGCTGGGGCTAGAAAAAAACAGCTTTATTGAAGCAACAGTGCCGCAGCTCTGTGATTGCTTCTGCAGAGCTGGGGTACTCTATGGGCAGAGAGTGGCAGCCCAGGACAGTTTTCCAATCATATTTATACTCACTTTTAATTACATGCAGATTAAAGGGAAGTTTATACAGAAATTTTTAGGAAAGGAGTAGTAACTGGGACATTAGGTTGTTACCATGCAAACGGTAGGTAACACCTAGGTGTTGCCATGGCAATAGTAAACTGACATGAGAGCTGGTGAGTATGTTTGATGGAAAACTTTTTCTGTCCCAGCCCTGTTTTAGCTAGTCCGCAGTTTGGTCTGGTGTCCAAGCCCTGCCTCTGCCGTCAAGTCCTGCTTCCTGCCCTAGGACTACAGCAAAGTTCTATTACAGTTGCCTGATTTTTTAATTTTATTTTTTGTAGAGACAGGATCTCACTGTGTTGCCCAAGTTGGTCTTGAACTCCTGACCTCAAGCAATTCTCCCACCTTGGCCTCCCAAACTGCTGGGATTATAGGTGTGAGCCATTGCACCTGGCCTTATTGACTTCTTTTATTGGGTTTTGTTCTTTCTCATCAGTGTGGTAATCAAATCTAGGACACCTTCCTGAATTTGACAGTGGACGCAAATGTAAACATGGTGCCTGAAATTGCATGGGAGCACTCGGTGACAAGGTAGTGCAAATAGGAGATCCAGACTATATTTAATTTAATTTAATTTATTTTATCAACATCACTGAAATGCAAACAAAAAGTTTAATGTTGGAAGAACTCACAAGAAGGGCTGCATGACAGAGCATTCCCTGTAGCATCCTTCACAATGCAGTTTATATGAACACCACCCTATCCATGAGCTCCATCACCCACTATAAGAGACATCCCACAGGGTCTGGAGCTCCCTCTGTTATCTGCCTCTTCTCAAATCCCCTCTTTCCCCTAGTCTGCATTTTATTTCAAAAGCTACAGGTATATAGAGATAAATACTAATTATTTTTTGTCTGTCTGTTGCAGACTAACACATTAACACAGTGTTTGTGTCTAGTCTGAAGAAGATGGTCTTAATTATTTAATTGAAATCATGTATGCAATGTATTCTCCTGAGGAAAATTTCAAACGCAATAGGGTGAGCGGTTTTATTGTGACCAAGCAAGTTCAGTATATCGTCCCTGAATTTACTGGGAGGTTGGAATATACTTTTATTTGATTATTTTACTGTAGATATTGGGTACTGCTTTTGGTCCTATGTCTGTGCTATTTTTTAAAGGCCTTCTCTTCTGAGTTAATAGTGCTTCTCGTAGACTTACACACAGATGGGTGACAGGAAGAGGGACAGAAGTTGAGGTGTACAGAGGTACTTAACAACTGAATAATTAACCCTGTAATTGGAAAGTAACAGAACCTGTGTCTAAGTAACAACATTGTCTAAAAGTATTTGGTCTTTTCCTGCCCATCCCTCCCCATTTTGTTGCTGTTTTGCTTATAGTTTTTAATGTGATGATTCTGGAAATTTTGCTTCCTCTTGGTAGAGAACTTTTCTTATAGTAAGGGCATTGTAATATTAATGCACATCGATTTTTAGATGTGTATTTTTGCGACCTTGTTCTGAGAGTGACTATATAGTTCTTATTGGTGTTTATTTTTGGGGGTGTATATTAATAACAGTAAAGGCTGTCATGAGTGTTTATACACACTAAAATCTAGAAATTATTAAAATCCTCATGTTTATGTTTCTCAGCAAATTAAGATAGCCACCAACAGTATTAAATTCGGAGTTGACAAAATTTTTGCTCTGGTAATGTTGCTCAGACTGTGTTATTATTATCGAATCCTCCTGATGTAGAAATCAGTGTTAAATTTGATATTATTATGTTTCATATGCTTCTGTTTGCTCTGATAAGTTCTAATTTGCTTTCATTGGAGACTATTGGATTGACAGTGGTTTAAATATAGCCTTCACTGTATATAAATAGCCTGTCTTTAGTTTGGTATCCTCAAGGTTTCCATATCTTTACCATTGACCAGTGCACCAATGTTTCAGAAATATCCCTCCTAGAATAAATGATGAGTTTACTGCTTCATGGTTAAAGCTATGTCATTAGACCAGACGTGGTGGCTCACACCTGTAATCCTAGTACTTTTTGGGGCTGAGGAGGGTGGGTAACCTGAGGTCAGGAGTTCAAGACCAGCCTGGCTAATATGGTGAAACCCTGTCTCTACTAAAAACACGAAAACTAGCTTGTCATGGTGTAGTAGCCTGTAGCTACTCAGGAGGCTGAGGCAGGAGAATTGCTTGAACCCAGGAGGCGGAGGTTGCTGTGAGCCGAGATCGTGCCACTGCATTCCAGCCTGGGTGACAGAGCCAGACTCTGTCTCAATCAATCAATCAATCTATCTATCTATCAATAAAGCTGTATTATTAGAGGCTTTAAAACAAATACATCCTAGTTTTTAAAAACAGAGTACTCTAAACATAATTTAAATTTTGTCTTATGTTTTTGAGTGATTTCACTCAGTTGCTGAGTGGAACTTTTAGTTCTGATTCCAACTGTTGCAGACTCTTTTCTTCTTCGCTTTGCATTTTTAATTCTGTTTCTTTTTTGCTGTGACGGTGATCATGTTTGCCAGGCTGTTGTCAGTGTTACTGATAATGATCAAGTGTTCACCTGAGTTTAGTATTGATGTTGTTACAGCAATTGCAAGCAAGCTCTTCTATGCAAATACATTTGCTAAAATACTACCTTTTGTGTAATTGTATATGTGAGTATATGACAGAAACTATCTGTGGATTAACGTATTACTTTGAGTATTTTTTTTTTTTTTTTTTTTTTTTTTGAGACGGAGTCTCGCTCTGTCGCCCGGGCTGGAGTGCAGTGGCCGGATCTCAGCTCACTGCAAGCTCCACCTCCCGGGTTTACGCCATTCTCCTGCCTCAGCCTCCCGAGTAGCTGGGACTACAGGCGCCCGCCACCTCGCCCGGCTAGTTTTTTGTATTTTTTTTTAGTAGAGACGGGGTTTCACCGTGTTAGCCAGGATGGCCTTGATCTCCTGACCTCGTGATCCGCCCGTCTTGGCCTCCCAAAGTGCTGGGATTACAGGCTTGAGCCACTGCGCCCGGCCGAGTATTTTCTTTCTTAAGTAGAAATAATATATTTTCTGATAATACTTTATTGAACAAAAGAAACATTTTATTCAACAAAATTTTTCAGTAGAGCAGCCAAATGTCTAGATTCTATAGATTTTTAAAAATTGATACATAATTTTACAGATTTATGGAGAATATGTGATGTTTTGGTACATGCATACCAGGTGTAATGGTCAAATCAAGGTAATTAGGATATTCACACCTCAATGATTTATCATTTTTTGTGTTGGAAACATTTCAGATCCTCTCTTCTAGCTACTTTGAAATATACAATAAGTTATTTGTCAACTATGTAGATTCCGTAGTTTTATTCCAGTAGATATGATTAAAAGGTAGGTGAAATTTGCTTGCTTGCTTAGAATCATTATTTTTTAAATGATATATGTGATGATTATTTAGAAATATGGGGCAATGATCACAGTATTGGTTATTATATTACTCTCTACTGAGTACACACTATATGTCAAGCACTGTTTTACCCCTTTATATTATTTAGTCCTCACATTACCCTGATCAAAGATGTACTGTTTTATTTTCATTTGAGTTGGAAGGAACTAGAGGCAGAGAACAGTTAGGCACCCTGGCCAGGGCCACGTAGATAACAAGGAGTGAAGTCCAAATACAAACTTGGGCAGTTTTGCTCAGAGCTGACACTTGACCGCGTCTCTTTCACCATGTAGTATTTTAAAGGACCTAAAGGAATTTGTATTTAGAATACTGACCCATTGTCCCCTTTTACGAAAGTGAAATTCTGTTCCTTAATCTTTAGGATTTCCCTGTGTTTTCCTAACATGTAGTTTACCAACATTAGTATCTTATTTTTCAGCGTAGTGCTTTTGTGTTTACAGATATGCCTCTTCATGTTCGACGCAGTAGTGACCCAGCTCTAATTGGCATCTCCTCTTCTGTCAGTGATCATAATTTTTCCTCTGAAGAGCCTTCAAGGAAAAATCCCACACGCTGGTCAACAACAGCTGGCTTCCTAAAGCAGAACACTGCTGGGAGTCCTAAAACCTGCGACAGGAAGGTAACCACCACTGCTTGTTTGCTGCCATCCCTTGCCCCTCCTGACTTCTTGGTGTCCATGATGAGTGTTGTGTCTTGGGTAAACTATTGGTTTCCAGGGCATCTTCACGATGGCCTTTTGTGAGCATGGTACCAACTTTCATATCAAAGTTCAGATAGTCTCCTATTTTATTTCACACTTGAAATTTCTGATGAAAATCAGTGCCATGTATCATATGCACTTATTAATATATCCATTTTTTGAATAGATTCCATTTCATATCATTAAAAATGAAAACAATTTGACACAATATGTGTACCATATAAAGTCCCTTTCTTGCTGTCTCTCCTGGTCTCCTCTCCCATTTCTCCTCACAGGCAGCCTCTTTATTTGCTTTTTCTATGTTCTTACAGGGATATTTGACACATGTATAAGCAAATATTTATATTGGTTCATGAGGTACATGAAGGAACTTAGAACATTATGAACTTTTAAGGATGAAAGTGGACTTCATGGTAATTTAGTTTGACTACCCAGTTGATCATTTTATCCTAAGTCTCCTTGTAAATGGAAGTTTGTTGTCTAGTCTTCATAATATTTTATTCCTTGACCTAATTTATTTTAGTCCTTGACCTAATTTATTTAATCTGAATGAAAAAACTTTATTTTAACCTGTTTTGTCTGTTTTAAAAAATTTGTTGGCCGGGCATGGTGGCTCCCACCTATAATCTCAGCGCTTTGGGAGGCCAGGGTGGCCTTGAACTCCTGGCCAGGTTAACATGGCAAAACCCCATCTCTACTAAAAATACAAAAATTAACCAGGTGTGCTGGCATGCACCTGTAATCCCAACTACTCAGGATGCTGAGGCACAATAATTGCTTGAACCCAGGAGGCGGAGGTTGCAGTGAGCCGAGGTTGCGCCACTGCACTCTAGGCTGGGCAACAGAGTGAGACTCCATCTCAACAACAACAAAAAGCATGTTGATGCTCTTTGTCAGAACCCTTATTGTTCCTTTTCATCACACTTCTCACCTCTTATTTAATGTGCATTTTGCTGAATCTGTCATTTTCACTTTTGAATCTGTAGATGCTTAGTAAACTTCTGTTGAATGAATTAGTAAACATTTTTTCAGTGCAGCCAGTAATTTAGCACAGTATATATTGAGGAATGTTGAAGTAATACTAATCACATAAGATTAAAAAGGATGTAGCTTGATATTTGCTTGATTTATTCTTTGCATAGGTATAAAAATACCTGTTTTAAATATTTCAACTTTGTTTTGCATTTCAGCACACTCCTTTCTGTAGCAGTTCAAGTGGAAAAAAAAGTGCATGGAAAACACAGGTTTAAACTGAGAAGAGTCTACTTGGAAAAAAAAGTATATTTAGTTTCTGATTTTTTTGAATTATGAGCTTAACTTTTAGGCTTAGTCTCCTGAAATACTTTGTTTTTATAGCTGTGTTGAGGAGCCACATTGGAAGATCTTTTCATTAAGATTAGCTTGAAATTTTTGAGGACTTTATCTTGCAGTAGACTATCCAGAGAACCAGAATCCAGTTTATCAGTGGGTCTCGTGTCAGTTAATTTTCTTTTAGAATAGACCTAATTTAATTTACCTGGATATTCACAGATGTGCAAACAAGTCAAGTTGGCAGTTAAAAGAAATTTTTTAACTAGGTTTTCAACTGTTTGAAGCATACTGAAGTTTCTTTTCAAGTTATTCAACATCTTGGATGTGTGAGTCCATTTCAGTTGCAGCAGACAGAACGTGTTTGTATCATAAAACATTTTTGAACAAAAGGGATTTATCACTTAGAATTTTTTTTCTCACAAAATCACTGGAAGGGTTTGCAGAGCAGATCCTAGGATGGTCCTGGAGAACCTTTAAAGCTATGCAGTAACAAACATGTGGCTTGCCTGTGGAGCTACCCTCTCTGCTTTCGTGGTGAAAGAGGTACTGCAGTCCAGGGACCTGAACTACTCCCATCGGGGCCTGCCTTCTACACACTACACACCGCCCTGCCTCCAGGTGTACTCACCTTGCTTCTGTCATTTGTCAAGCTGGAGACCCACCCTAGAAGTGCTGCCAGTCATAACAGCCCAGGAAAAATCTGTTTCACACCACTATTAAAATCTCATGCTACTGAATCTGAGTGGGTGGAGTCCAGTTTGTATCTAGACCCTTATCTGCAGAAGAGCCTGGGAAATAGAGCATTAGCCTTAAAACCTCTGCAGCACAGAAACACGTTAGGAGAGCACTGAGACCCTCATTGCCAATTAACAACATCCACCTTGTTGACGCAGTTTCATTTTTAAATTTTTATTTTATTTATTTATTTATTTATTTATTTATTTATTTAGAAACAGGGTCTTGCTTTGTCACCCAGGCTGGAGAGCTGTGGCACAGTCTCAGCTCACTGCAACTTCTATCTCCCAGGTTCAAGCATTCTCCTGCCTCAGCCTCCCGAGTAGCTGGGTCTACAGGCACTAGCCATCACACCTGGCTGATTGTTTAATTTTTTGTAGAGATGGGGTCTTGCTTTGTTGCCCAGGCTGGTCTCAAACTTTTGGACTTGGGTGATCCTTCCATCTCAGCCTCCCAAAGGCTGGAATTACAGACACGAGCCACCATATCCAGCCTGACATTGTTTTAAATAACATGCTTCTATCATTGTAGAAAATTTGGCAAACTCGTAGAATAGAACAAAATAAAATTATTCATAACTCCAGAACCCAGCAACAACCAGTATTCACACACACACACGTTGGAGTCATGCTGTGTTCATGTATTCGTATCCTGATTATTTCAACATTATTTTTCATACAATAGGAATTTTCCCTGATGTGAATTTTATTGTAACTATTTTAATGAGTGTAAAACATTTCATTGTAGGTTGTATTCTGTCTTCTGTCAATTTTGGACATTCATGCTCTTTCTCTTTTTTTCACATTATAATATTTATCTTAAAAATTGTTAAATATTCATCCATCTTTTTGCTTACATGGAGCATTATTTAATGTAGCCAGATGCCCATATTTTCCCTTAGGAAAAGCCTTGATCTACATGTATATTTCTAGATGAAGTGATATTTGCATACAATATACTTGAATAGTAATGTGTAATGAATTAGTCTTTTGAATTTTCTTTGGCTTTACTCTTCAAATACTAATCTTGCTGTCTGCGTTTTATGCTGTTTGTATTTTAGTCTGAGAGCTCATATATAAATATGATTAAATGGTATTTTATTTTCAGTTATAAAAAGCCTTCTCATCTTTTCAGTATTCAGATGGAAGGAAAGCATACTTGCTGCTTAGGTACAAAGCATTCAATTTCTTTATTTCTGTGAAGCCCATGAGAGCTTACCTATGCTGTCATGCTTCAAGATGTTATAAATTCTTATGAGTGTGTCGTGGTTCAGGTTTTCTGTGTAAAATTGTGGAAATAAATTAGTTGTGCATTCATAGCCCTCTGATTTAGTGATCTCTAGTGGTTAAAAACAGTTAACAAAATAACTCATCCTCATAGTTAAGTGGTTTATATTCCTCCAAGTTAAATGAATAGAGTAAATTATTTTAGAATAATGTTATCAATCAATTAAAATCTCTTGTTTCTAAGCAGGAAAGTTGTATTCTGATACGTTAGAGCACCATCAGGTCAAACTCTCTCCTTTGGTTCAAAACCACAAATGAGAGGTGGAGTCTTCCTTGTTGAAATAGTGGTCATAATCTCATTCCACTATTAGGCTTAGTGGGCAGGGTGTACAGATGATGATGATACTCTATTGCCTGAGAGCCTGAAGAGTCCAAGGGTCCCATGGGCTTCTGGATTTCTGAAAAATTTTCACGCTTTTATTTGGAAGTGAGATGGAGAGGGTAAGGGAGCTGTGGCTTTTTTCAAAGTTATTTGACATACTCACCTTTGTGTCCAGTGTTTTGTGGCTGACTACCTTTTCCAACTGTTTTAGGGAACATTTTGCTCACACTTGGTGTGGAAAGTTTCTTGCTAGAGGCTGTATTTTCATTTGAGAGTAAACGTGGTTAATATTTTATCCTGCAGGAGAGTATTTCAATTGGTGTGAATACTTTAATCATCTTTGCCACCTCTTTGGTCTTCCTTATTAAGTCAGTGTTGCTGTGAATATAGAGGCCAGCTGGTCTGTGGAGAGCATGTGATTCATCTCATCAAGAAAGATGTAATGAGCTCTTAGAAGAATCAGCCCACCATGCAGTGCTGGAGATAAGGACTATGGACTATTTCACTGTGCAGTTGCTACAAGCCATTGTTCCGTCCCTGTAAATAATGAGTGGCATTGTTTTTGTAAATTATATTTCCTTCTAAACAATTAACATAGGTAGACTTAGTATAAAACCAGTTGTGGACAAGTGTCCAAAAGAGATTCTTACCTGATTAGGGAAAGGGGAAGAAGGTAATAAAGGGAACCTATTGCATTGGCATCATTAGCTTCCTTTTCTTTTGATTTTTTAAAGGGAGACCTTGAACTGTTTCTTACCTGCTGGGTTTATTATTTCTATTTGGTTTAGTTGCTTGGCATGTTTGGTATCTTTCCAATACCCCTGATACACACAACCTCTTGTAAGAGATGCTTTCTTAGTTATGTCTTTGTTGTCTTGCTTTTCTTTCTATTAGAAAGATGAGATGTTTTGTCTAAGTTTAGGAAATTACTTTTATAAACATTTTTGAAGTATATTTCAAGGTTCCCCAACCTCCTTTTTTCCCCTGATAGTAATACAGCTTGCTCTTTGCATATATACAGTAATGAAGGGTATATAGAAGCAGGGAAATGCCATCAGGCTTCTGTGTCCATGGGTTCTGCATCCATGGATTCAACCAAGATTAGATTGAAAATATTTGGAACAACAACAAAAAAAGAATCGTCGTGTCTGAACACGTAGAAACTTTCCTTTGTCCTCATTTCCTAAATAACACAGTGTAACACCTATTTACACAAAGCATTTTCTTTGTATTAGATCATGTAAATCATCTAGACATCATTTAAA